AAATTTTTATTTTCACCTCTATTGCTTGCAAAGTATGCACCTAAAGCATATTTTAAACACATGTCATCACCTGTTTGAGAGTTATCTGGATTAATAATACATTTAGTATTGGCAAGCTTCTTTGGAGTCGAGATATATGATCTACTAATTGTTCATCGTAATGTATAAGCTTCAATTTTTAATTTTTCTATTCGAACTAATTGCCAATTTGATCCTCTTCTTAACATTTCCTCAATGTCTTTATTTATTTCTAAAGCTGGCTAAGATATATGATCATCTATATCATTTTCTGATAAAAGAGAACACATTTTACTTCTGTAATAACAATACATTATATTATCTTCCTTATCCTCTTTTTTTAGTGATTTGTTACTTTTTCATAATAGCAAAGGGCAACTAATGCTAACTTTATATGCTCCTTTTTATTAAGCTCGATTTTAAAAACTCTTGTAATTTTATCTCTAGCATTTGCTAATAATTGAGGCATATATGGTGTTTCGTTATATTCTTTATGGTTAGATATTGGTTTAATAAATGCATATCTCAGATTTTTTATAGATGGAACTATGGCTTTCCAATTACTTAATAAATTTAAATTATCATGAGGTCTTTCTGGATCGCTAACTCTAATTTGAATAAAGTGAATACTAGTATCTAATACTGCATCTTTTTCTATTAGATTTAATGTTTTGAGAAACTTAAATTCTTCTCAAGATAAATATTTATCTATGTTAGTTTGAGAAGTAGATGAGTCAGAGATCTGATCCAAATGATTATTGTGAAGCAATGACCCTTCAGGTCTACCTGCTACTGGTTCAATTTGTGAAATTGGAATTGGATTTGTAGTAAGAATAATTTGGGGTCGACATGGATTTTTTCGATTAAGATGAACTCTAAGCATTTGTGGTGTTGCACATGTATGTCCACATCGATTACAAGTTCGATTTTTCTTATCTTTTCTAGCCATGTATATGTTATAGGTATAATTGATTTAATATATAATACTTATATAAAAATTTTTGTTTAATTAATTATTTTAATATATCAAAGAGTATTATGTAGTTCAGTACTATGATAGATTACGAGCCAGAGCTTTAAAAATTGATCCTAGATAAGTGAAAAACCTGACACAAATTTATTAGACTTTGGTTATTAGTATAA